AATATGTGTTGCATTCCTTTATTTTGTATCTGTGAAGCTGTGGGACGTGGCATATCTCAAATACCAGATCGGTCTAATAAAGAACTGAATGGCCAATAGCAAGGCAGGAGAAAGGGTGGGCAGGGTTGGCAGGCAGAGACAATAAATAGGAGAAAAAGCGAGAGAAAAGATTGAAGAGCAAGAAAAGGAGAGAAGGACATCAGCAACCACCCTCCTAGCTACACAGCCAGCCACAGCGTAAGAAGTAATTAAGTTTTCCAACCAGCCTGCAACAAAATGTTGTGAAATAATTTTGATTCCTAAGTTGCTCCCAGGAATAAAAGTACAGCATTAGGTGCCTGAATAAAGGGCTGGATAGAGGGTTCAACCTGTACAGAGCCAGACTCTTCTTGCAGGGGACCAAATTTCAATTCTTCAAATCCACACAGTATCTCAAAACTGTCCGAACTGCCATTCCACAGAACGTGACACTATCTTCTAGCTTCTTCAGGACACTGCACAAATGTGGGGCACAAATGTGCATGTAGGAAAAACACCCATAAACATAAATAAAATTTAAGATCTTAAGTATCTTCAGGATTCATGGTGAAAGGACACACATCCCAACTCATTACAACAACTGCCTGGCCTAGAAGGAATCCTTGGTCAGCCTGTTTCAGTTCCTGGCATATATATATATATTCTGTGATGTATATTGGAATCATGTGCATACCATGCTGCTTTTAGGGGCCAAAAGAAAACATTGATGAGTCTCTCCTTATAGTGTTTAGGTGACTTTGGGGAACAGAATGCAGGTGACCATGTACTTCATATGCCAACAAATACCACTGCTCACTGAGCCATCTCGTTGGCCCAGCCTATCCAATTTAGTGTACCCTTCTATGTTTGTTGTTGGGTTGTATTGTTGAGACAGTACTACACTTGTGTATTCTTATTGGGCTGAAACTCACAATTAAAACAGGGAGACCCAGAACTCTGAGAAATCTGCCCATCTGTCTCCAGAGTGCTGAGATTAAGGGATGGTCTTAAGAATGGTGGGGCTAAGCAGGGCGGTGGTGGCACACGCCTTTAATCCCAGTACTCGGGAGGCAGAAGCAGGTGGATCTCTGTGAGTTCGAGGCCAGCCTGGTCTACAAGAGCCAGTTCCAGGACAGAAACCAAAAAGCTGTTTCGAAAATCAAAAAAAAAAAAAAAAAAAGAATGGTGGGGCTGTAAGACAAGAATTTACACAACGAACCAACATTCTGGTATTTTTATCAAAAAGTCACTACCAGTAAAACCTGAACTGTGAGGGTAGTGACAAGATGCTGGTACCCACTGTCTTATTATATTAGAGTCATTATATTATATTAAAGCCATTTCAAGATTGAAATCTAGACGATACAAGAATTAGAGTTGAGTTTGGAAACGAATTACTACATAGAATTGCCTGGGTCTTGAACAGTGTCAAAAGCAAAGCCAGACTCTGGGTACACTGATTAAGACAGGATTTAAAATACTATTGGCATGAGAAAAAAATCCACGGGTACTGGGCATTGTCTGAAATTGTAGAGGTGACAGATTAGAGGGCACTAAGGGGGTATGAGGGCCCAGTGAAGTCAGTGAACTGAAAATGTGTGTAAAGGTGGCTAAATGATGACGGGTTTGGTATCCTCGAACTTGAAATTCCTACCACACTTCCTGATGGCTTGAGAATTCTGATATTGTATGATTCCTAAGACCTACATGGTGGAGAGAGACAACTCCCACAAGCTGTTCTCTGGGATCCACACAGGGACAATGACATGGACATGCCCTTTTCCATACAAGCTAGTAAACAAATATCATTTAAAAACTAAAATGTATCTAGGTACTGACAAAGGAAGTCATTCATCCTCTTGGACTTGTCAGCGATCCTTCCTTAGTTTGCTCCCCAGTGCTCGGAACAAAGGTATGAACCATTCTACAGCCACCCCTACCTTTCAGTTCACCTTATGCTTCAAACTCCCCAGTCCTGCCCTTCAATTCAGCTTGTGTGTTCCATACTCCCCCACCTCACACTTCCACTTAAGCCTGTGCGCTCCAGTGTCCCTATTCCTACCTTACAGTTCAGCTTGTTGATCATCTGTCTCATTCCACAAACCCAATTCCTGAAGGAAATACTCAAGAAAACAGAAGTCTAGCTCATCACGAACATATAGCTATTTTGGTGGCAGTGTTGGGTGGAACACTCCTATTAGAGACCACTGTCTAGGTGTATGTGTTTATATTCTCATGAGTAGTATAAATACTTTTCTTGTAAAATACACTTTAGATATATTTAGAATTCTAATAACCCAAACCTATGGAGCATGACAAAATATTGTATGATGAAATATTTCAATATTAATTTTGAATTTTGAAACTTCCATCATATGTGAGAGCACAAAAGGGCACGGAGTCTGTGTTTTCATGTCATCTGTACCACCTCGTACTTCAACCCATTTATTGATGTATTTATTTACTTGTGAGACAAGAGTCATTTCTATTAAGCTGGCCTCAAACTCCCTCTGTAGTCAATGATAACCAGGATTTTTTAATGGACTTGCAAATTCACTTATAGATGTTGTGTAGCTATTCTTATGGATATTCATTCCATCTGTACAGGAATCCAAACACCCATCTGGGCTCAAAGTACATAAATGCTCTGGAAGCTCAAAGTAATAGGAGTACTAGCATTTAAATATGTATATAAAGAAAAATGGAACAAGACATATATCCTCTAGACTGATTCAAAGTAGTTTTCCAATCATAAACAAACAAGGAAGATGAACACGTGCCATTATAGTATGAGCTACATTTTTATACAAGGGGACAGAGTCTCATTATTAGAAGTATTTTTCCATATATTCCCCTCCCAAACCTAAATGTTATCCAATGATGATATTAGTTTCCATAGATGCTCTTGAGCAGCTCCTCCCTCTAGATGAGATGGAGGCAACTTCCCAGCACTATGCTATACTAACAGCTCACAGCCATTACTAGGAGCGGTGATGGTATTATTATTACAGAACCATGTTAATTCTATTCTTTTCTATTTGGTGCAAGCAGAACCTACATGGCTCTAATCTATGATACTAAAATAAGAAGTATTAATAATACCTTGCATCTCTGCTCTCTATGTTGTTCTCAATGTATCTATTCACTTAACTCTGAGACAACAAGAGTTGCATGGGGAATGATGTAGAATAAAAAGAAGGCTAATCTATATTTTCTTACACCTCTCTCAGCTGCACATTGGTGATCAAAATTGTATTACTTTCCCAGCCTTCTGTGGTGGCACTCGCTTATGATGCTAGCATTTGGAAGCTTAAGACAGGGCACATTACACGGTTAAACCACTGCTGTAGGAAGTCTTACAGCTTGTGGCTACCCGCCTATTGGGGCGTGGCCTCTTATACTATAAATGCTGATACAGAGCCTGCGTCTACCCTCTTTTCTGGCTGCTCTTTCTGGTTGCTGGATTTGGTTTCTGTTCTCTAAGCAGAGGGTTATGATTTGTGAGTGTACCCCTAAGTAAATAACCTTCTATTTCTCAATTCTGAGCTAGTGTGGGATTTCTTTTAGCATCCTTCCACAAACCACCTTGGTCTATGACACCCAAGAACAACAATTAGGATCAGAAAAGAGAAGGTGACCAGAATGACGTGTAAAACATAGAAATTTTGGGATTCACATGTCTTGTATATGCTAATGGCTTATACTTAAGTTCCTTAAGATATATAGCTCTGAAATACTATTTATAGGTGGAGAATGAGAAAATCCTGTTAAAACAATTTAGCAATGTTGGAAAAACAACACAGAATACATCAGACTGAGCTCACAGTGGCCCTGAAGAGACAGGTTCCCTTGACTCCCTCATGATGTTCACTCAAGCACTGGACCAGAACTTCCCAAGTCTGCCCTTGGGCAGGAAACAAAAGTAGTGCTCCATTGGTGCTTTTATCAGGGCATCTGACAAAACCATGAACAGGTTCCCAAGTACCAACTTCAATCTACACAAACAAAAACACATGTGAAAATGGCCTTCTACTCTCATCATGTCTGCTCAGCAGAGAGGTGGAAGTCTTAGCTAAAGAAATAAGACAACAGAAGGAGATCAAGGGGATACAACTGGAAAGGAAGAAGCTGAAGTATTTTTATTTGCAGATGATGTGATAGGATATGTAAGAGACCCTAAAAATTCCCAAAATGCCTATGGCTGAAAAACACTCTGAACAAAGTAGTTGAGATACACAATTAACTTGCAAAATCAGTAACTCTCCTAGAAACAAACGGCAAAGGAACTGAAGCAGGGAAGTAATATCTTTCATAACCACCTCAAATTGTATAAAATATCTCTCAGTAACTCTAACTGAGGAAGTGAAAGACTTATATGATAAAATGATATGGAATGTTCTCCTGTATGTGTTAATGGGCAGAATAGAGCCAGGCTGGAAAACACATAGAGAGAGAGTAGGCAGAGTCAAGGAGATGCCATATAGCTGCAGAAGGAGAAGTACACACCAAAACCTTACTGGTAGGCCACAGCTTTGGGGTGATGTACAGATTAATAGAAAGGGTTAATTTAAGATGGAAGAGCTAGTTAGAAATAAGCCTGAGACATTGGTTAGTGTTGTAGTTAATATAGTTTCTGTGTGTTATTCGGGTCTGGGTGGCTGGGAAAAAAAACAAGCAGTCTATCTACAAAATGACGCCCAGCGTCTGGAGCATAGATCCACATAAGACCTAATAAAAAAGCTTAAGGAAAAAAAAAAGGGCTCCTAGGCCCACAAAAAATGGAAGCCAAGTCCACTTTCTTGGTATCTGCACTCTTGTTTACTGGTGGCTTCCTGACTCAGTATTAGCAGTAAAAACTGCAAGGCTTCCTTAAGGAATGGCTTCCTGGTTCAGCATGGATGGCTCTGGTTCTTTTAGGAAGTCCTGCACTTGAATGGGGTCTGTGAGCAGCATGCTACTAGTTTCTTAATGGTGACACTGACCTGCTGCGTCCCTGGAGCTGGGGCGGTGAGCATGGCTAGCAGAGGAGAGGAACATACCTCCACCATGTTGGATGGGGCGTAGCCAACAGGCGGGGCCATAGAGTTGGTCCAGTCACTCCTGTTTAGCATTATGGAGAAAAAAAAAAAGCGCTCCTGGTTAAAAAATAATTACAGGTACACAATAAAACAGATTCAGTTGAAAAAGACCACTGAATGAGTCACATAAATAAGTTGGATAAATGTACAGAGGCTTAAGAGAGAGAGAAGAAAGAATACAAACAGTCATAAAGGAGTAAAGGTGATAAAATAAATATTAAAAAGTAATAGAGTGAAAAAAATAAGTCACATAAAGATGGAAAATACACAGAGTGTCTGGATTATATATATTATTGTGTTGTCTTTGAATTTTTGACTACAGCAGACATTTGATTCTGAGGGCTGCTAAGCTAAACATCTACATATAATATATATATTATATAGAGAGACTTAGAGCATATATGTGTATACACACATATACATATATATATATGTGTGTGTGTGTATAT